TTTGTCCCTTCAAAAACACCAAGTCTTTGACCCAGACAAAGGACCTTTTTGTTCTGCTGGTTTGAAAACTTCTTGCCACAGCCAGCACACCTACAAGCCTAGCCCTATACCTAACCCTCCTCACTGCCAACATTCCTAGCATTTTCACTTCAACACAATGAAAATTCTTGCAACTCCAGAGGCACCCAATCCATACCCCTGACTGCAAGCCCCAGGCTGTGCCCCTGCATATAGTTTGGTAGAATGTGAAAGGCAGACCCTGCACATTCAGGGGTAGCTTCTCATCTGGTCAGAAAAGCAAACATGGAGAGTTAACTACAAGGCCACTCACAGGTCTCCCGCAAAGGAGGAGGGCTGAGCACTGTGGAGGCAGATGGACTTGACCTGGTCTGAGATCTTCACCCATGGCCCCTCCTGAGACAGAGGCAGCCATGGGCCAAAGACTGCATCAGAGTAAACAAAGCCATAGGCTGGCATCTGGGACCCCCTTGCTGGCCCACATGAAGACTTTGGCTTTTATTCTGGGGGCAGAGGAGAGCCCCTGGGGGGCTTAAGCAGGGACTACCATGATTCAATTTGCATTTTAGAGAGAACATTCCAGCTGCTACATGGAGGCTTCTGCTGTTGTCCACACAGGAGATGGCAGTCCTGGGCTTGGACAGAAGCAAGAGGACTCTTGTGACATGAAGGTGACAGGGGCCACAGGGCTTAGAGATTGCTGGATGGCAGAAAGGGAGAGGGAAGTTATCCAGCAGAGTTTATGGTGGTGCCATTTGCTGAGACAACAGTTCACCTTAAGACATTTGACCTCACCGGGCCTGTGGGATAAGCAGGGAGGATCAGTGAGCAGGAAGTTAGATGTATGTGGGACTGGAGCCTGGAAGAGAGGCCTGCTCTAACGATACAAACCAGGGAGCCACGAGCATTGCCCAGGGAGAAGGCCGAGCTGGAGAACAGGGATAAGAACAAGGCTGAGAAACCCTGACATTTGGAAGTTAGCCAGAGGAGAAGGGAGCTATGGAGGTGCCCACAAAAGAACTGCCAGAGAAGGGAAATGGGGGGCTGTGATGTCCCAGGGACCAAGGACAGAGAACACAGAGGATGATGGGGAGAGAGACCATGTAAAGGCACAAAGAGACGGATTAAGGGAAGATTTGCAGAAGTTTTCAGACCAGAGATACGATCCAATTCGGCACTCACGAGAAGGGGAATAGCAAGGCTGTTCTATAGACAAAGTGGCCATGGGAAGGTGCTGACTGCAGGGGCTCTGAGATCTGAGGGCAAGGACTTGCTTTCCAGTTCCTCCACTCAGGAGCTATGAGACTGGGTGGCTCAGTTTCTCTTTAATAAAATTGAGATAAAAATAGCTCCACCTCACAGCAGCCTTGCAGAGAAATGTTAGCACAGAGCACTGTTAGTCCTGTGGTGGGGAGAAGGGGACATTATAATCAATAATGAGTTATGAAGATAGCAAGAAGAGTAGGGTTCACTTGTAGGTAGAAGGACTGAACCTGGCTTTCCTAGGAGGAAGCACCTCCCCTAGAGCAAAGAAGGAGCAGAGGCAGGCAGGTGTGCAGACGGGTGGGGAGAGCTGGCAGCAGGTGCAAGGAGAGCAGACTGTGAGGACAGGCATCTGCAGGCCCAGAGAAGAACTCCATTAAGCACTGGAGGGGGGGGCAGCCTGGTGGGATGGCCCAGAGGCCAGGTCGAAGAGAAGAAAGGGTCATTCCCAGTGTGGAAGTCAAGGAACTGAGAGTTGAGAGGTACAACTGGCAGTCCCATAGCTATTGAAGTCACCAGGGGTGGAGATAGGATTTCTGGAATGAGGAGGGACACCCAGGGGGGATGGGTAGAGAGGAAGTGGGGAAGGGTAAGTGGATGGAGAAGCAACAGACGGTGCGCGGTGAAGACAAGAGAAGCTTCCACTGGGCCACATGGTCTAGTGAGAAGTGGGAGAGCTGGGGCCAACCAGAAAGGGAGGGAAACTGGAGGGGAGGAGACACAGTGCAGGGCAGGCACTGCAGGGCCAAGGGTGACAGTACAGCATGAGGGTGGCAAGGAGGATGTGCCAGGCTGGAGGGGTATGCACCAGGCTCGGCTGCTTCTCCCTGTTTCGGTGCAAGTTGTGAAACCCACCACTGGCTTACCCTGCCTGCTCCAGTGCAATTGTCCCCAAGGCACTCCCAGGCCACCATGCCTGTCCTGCAGTACCTCTGCCCAGAGGACACACTCCTTGCTCACTTCTCTCCCCTTTCCTCCTCTGCCTTCCACAGCCCCCAAGCTCAAAGCCGGAGAGGACCTCTGGGCACCTGTCCTTCCTTGCTCGTCCACCAGGTGCAGCACCCAGGCTCTCACCTGATTCTCTTGACCCAGGCACACTGGCTTCCAGACTGGCAGGACAGTGTTCTCTCCTCACTTTTAGTGCCTCATTCAAGGCAAACAGCCAGTGCTATATGAATGCTCACTGTCCCTCCAGCACACAGGCGGCTCCAGGATGCTGAGACTTGCAGAGGGGAGACTCCTCAGACGGCCCTTCTCTTTCCCCTGAGCCCCCCACTCCAACCCATTTCATGCAGACTTTCCAACCTCGCCATCTGCCAACCTCAGCCCAGTCCTTGCCCACCTGGTGTCTCTGCATGCAGCAGAGCAAGGCCCTAGGAGAAGGGAGGACTATATGCCAGAAGGCCTCTGCTGTATGCAGGAGGACTGGAATCTTCTCCCAGCCAGACTCAAGCTCCACTTCTTCCTCCTCCTCCCACTCCCCCTGCCCTCCCCACCCCTCCTGCAAGCTTTTTTTCTGGGGCCAGTGGGGGGTGTTTCTGGCTCATGACTTTCCCTCCCCATCCTTCCCCTCCACACACATACATACACACAATTTTTGCTATTCTTCCCCTTGCCTGTGTTCAAGGGCTTCAGGATCCCTTGAGGGCAGAGGCTGGGGCCTCTGAGCACCCCAGGAGAATCCTAATCACACTCGAGCAGCCGGAGTTGGAGTCCATCCTCACGATGCCTTCTGACATTTAATGAGTTAAGGAGCTAAATCCCCTTCATCCCAGAGCAGCTGAGCAGCTGCGGGGCCTCGGCTGCTTCATGAGCAGCGCGGGGGAGGGGTGGGCTGCTTCATGCCTGTGTGTGTACAGCAGTGCACTCGCGGGGGTCACCTAAGCCGGGACGAGCCACCTACCTCCTCCAAATGGCCAGCACGCTCATCACGGAGCCCAGGACGAGGAGGGCTGAGATGGTCACTACGGTGACGACAACTGCAGGGCTCTGGTCCCTGGACCCTGAAGCGGCTGGGAGGAAAATCACGGGATTGAGGCAGGCAGAGGACCAGGCTTCTAGGCAACTGCCAGACAGACTCCTGTCCTCACAGCAGGGCTCCCACAGCACCTGTGCTCTCAGCACTACCTCCCAGCAGCATAAGGACCAAGGCAGCCCCATTGACCACAATGGCACTGGGAGTCCCAAGAGCATCCTCTGCTCCCGGGGCAGGGCACCTCCACTGCAGCCCAGCTCTGAGAGAGAGGGAGAAGCAGTCCAAACAGATAGGGCCAGGCCTTCCTTCTGCCTTTCAGATGGCAATGAGAGAGGCCTAAAATCTTCTGCAGGGGGAGTGACCTCAGCTCTGACCTCCCTAACCACAATCCAGACCAGTAGCAATAAAAGCTAATATAAGATCGCGTAAAAAAGCACGCATAAGGTGCAGTGGGTCATGCCTATAATCCCAGCACTCTGGGATGCTGAGGTGGCTAGATCACTTGAGCTCATGGGTTCAAGCTAGAGCAAGACTGGTCTCCAAAAATAGTTTGGTGTTGTGGTGAGCGCCTATAGTCCCAGCTACTCGGGAGGCTGAGGCAAGGGAATCGCTTGAGCCCACGAGGTTGAGGTTGATGTGAGCTATGACACCATGGTACTCTACCCAGGGCAACAAAGTGAGACTCTGTCTCAAAAGGAAAAGGAAAAAAAAAGCTAAAATTAAGTGCACACTTGTTCCATTCAAGACCCACTTTGTGCCTGAACCATAGTACCTCGTTTCATCATCACAATGATCCAATAAGGTATTGCTATCTCCATTTTACAGCTGAGGAAACTGAGGTTGAGAAAAACCATGTTGTAATTTATCCAAGGTCATATAGCTAATAAATGGTGAACCTAAGATTTGACCCTGACTCCAAAAGCCTCTGCCCAATTCCAAAACCTCTGCTTTGAACTATTCTCTCAGGGGTCCTGAGGAACCTCAGCTCTCAGCCCTACCCATCCAGCTATCCAACATACGTGCCATGCTGGCACTAGTGCTGGGGAGACAGTGATGAATGAGGCAGAGTCCTTGCCCTGGAGGAGTGCACAGACCAGTGAGTGAGACAGAAACAAAAGTCTTAACTGTAGAATGAAAACAGTAACAGAGAAATGAACGGAGCTGAGCAGAGGCATGATTTCTTCCAAAGCCAGTGAGGGAGGCTTTGCAGAAAAGGTGTCATTTGAACTGGACCTGGAAGACTGGAAGCGTTTCTGATGGTGCATAGATGCACACGCAGGGTCTGAAAATAGCGAGTTGTCCCACATGGCTGAAAAATATACTGCATGAAGGCAGAGAGTGGCCAGATGCAAAGCTGGAGGGTGGGAAGATGGAGGGAGCTCAGGGAGATAGAACTTGGAGGGCCTTGGGATGCTGAACTCAGGAGAATGAACTTTATTCTGCAGAAGACAGGGAGCCAAGGAGCAGAGGACAGAGTTCCCACCCAAGAAGAAGAGGAATGAAAGTATCTGCTGAGTTGGGAGTGAGAATGGAAAGGAGGTGCTTGCGAGAGGTGCAGGTTTGGAGTAACTATCAGTAATAGGAACCAGGGCTGGCGCGGTGGCTTGTGCTGGTATCTCAGTACTCTGGGAGGCCAAGGCAGGAGGATTGCTTGAGCTCAGGAGTTCCAGATCAGCCTGAGCAGGAGTGAGACAACACCGTCTCTACAAAACAAAAGAGACAACTAGAAAAAATTAGTTGGGCATAGTGGCATGTGCCCATATTCCCAGCTACTCAGAAGGCTGAGGTAGGAGGATCGCTGGAGCCCAGGAATCTTAGCTACAATGATGCCACTGCACTCCAGACCAGGGGACAGAGTAAGAGTCTGCCTCAAAATAAAATAAAATAAAATAAAATGTGGGGCCTGGGGGAGCTGAGAGCCAGGCAGAAGAAGATCCAGACAGCTGTCTTTAGGATGGCATGGAACAAGCAAGGAGGGACAGGAGTGAGAGGCCAAAAAGACTAGGGATAAAGAGAGCAATCCAGAGCTCAGGATCTGGCCAGGGGCAGAAGGGGAGTGGAGTTGCCAAGAACTGTTTGAAACGGAGTAGCCATGTGGACACAGAAATGGAGAATGAGATGATGATACTTGTTTTTTTTTTTGAGACAAAGTCTCACTTTATCACTCTTGGTAGAGTGCTATGGAGTCTTAGCTCACAGCAACCTCAAACTCTTGTGTTAAAGCAATCCTCTTGCCTCAGCCTCCCAAGTAGCTGGGACGACAGGAGCCCACCGCAACACCCTGACTTTTTTTTTTTTTTTTTGCAGTTCTTTTTGGCTGGGGCCAGGTTCAAACCTGCCACCCGCAGTATATGGGGCCAGCACCTTACTCCTTGAGCCACAGGCACCGCCAAGCACCCGGCTATTTTTTAGAGACAGAGTCTCACTCTTGCTCAGGCTGATCTCTAACTTGTGAGCTCAGACAATCCACCCACCTTGGCCTCCCAAGTGCTGGGATTACAGGCATGAGCCATCACGCCCAGCCGAGATGAAGACACTTGTGCTGGGTGACTCTGAGATAGCCCTCATGGATCCCTACCTCTAGGTATTCATTCCCCTTCAGTGGGGAACTGGACCTAGCAACTCACTTCAAATGAACAGAATATGGCAAAAGTGATAGAATGTCATTTCCACGATTAGGTTACAAGAGACTGTGGCTTAGGTCTATGCATGCCCTCTCACTCTCTCATTCACTCACAGGCTCTGAAAGAATCTAGCTGCCATGCTGAGCAGCCCTAAGGAACAGCACGCCTCCAGCCACAGCCAGCAAGAACCAAGCAGGGAGGTGGCCTGTTCCCCAGTTTACCCTGAGATGACCACATCATCAGAGGGCACTCTGACCGCAGCCTCGGGAGAAACCCTGGGCCAGTCTCAGGACTTAGCAGCACCCAAATTCCTGGTCTATGGGAACCAGGAGATGATAAATATTTTCAGCCTCTATGTTTTGGGGTAAATTGTTACACAGCAATGGAGAACTTATACAGTGGTGAAGCATGACTCTTCGTCAGGATCCTGATCTGGGGTCACAGCTCAATGGAAAGCGTGCTCTGTAGACTGGAAAAACCATTCCCTCTGTGGCCAGGGCCACAGCCAGGGGCTGGAAATCTGAGCATCTTTACTAAGTGAGCTTCCTCCTCAGCTGACAGCCCCCCACTCCTGCCCTATCAAGCCCACCCTAGCCTAACTCTTTGTTCTGATGGCTTCCCCTACCCAAATGCTCTCCCTGCCCTTCTCCCCAGAATAACATGTTCCCTGGCCTTGAAGACATAGCTGTAATCTCCTCTTCTCAGCATCTGGCCAAGGTCTGACACAGACATGCATTCAAGCAAGAAGTGTGGTCTTCCTTCCCAGAATCAAACACACTCTACATTTTATCTTCACCTTCCTTTGGGCTCAGAGCTCTTCCTAGCTTGGATTAGAGTCATGTGGCAGGTTGGAAAGAATTGTTATCTTGACAGCTGGTGCCAGAATGCATCTTAGGGGGAACTGCCTTTGTTCAGGAAAATCTTTTGTGAGCTGCTGAGGGTAGAGAGAGGTGTGATCCTGAGGGCTGGGTTGGCAGCAGGCAGGACAACAGGAGAGCTAAACTGCTCTCTATGCGGAGAAAGGTGATGGGGAGGGAGGGAAGCACAGTACTGTGGAGCAGCCAGACGTATTCTAGAATCAGGATATTTGATGTAATGTTGGGCTTTTGTTTTCCTTTGTTTTGATAACAGCTTTCTGAGATATGATTCACAGACGACACAATTCACCCATTCAAAGCGTACAGCTCTCATTCTGTTTTGTTTATTGCAGCAGTGTGACTCCCTTCGTACCCCCACCCTTCAGTGCAGTGGGCTTCACATCCTAAGCCCTAGAGGGGACAGGAACAGGGTCCTCCTGGGTTTGGGTCTCTATCCCAACTGAGTCTCTCTCCAGCAGAACTCTTCTCTTATGAGCTCTTCCAGGACGAGTATGCAATCTAATTCACATCAGTGAATAGACACCAGTCAGTGGATTCCAGATTCATTAATTAATTAGGCTGTAATTAAACTGTGCTGCAGACTCACTTAATTGCACAGACAGTTCTCCCCTCTGTTTATCTCCCTGCCTCAGCCCTGTGCCAGGTTCTCCCTGCCCAGGATCCTTTTCACTTGCACACACTACTTACCCTCCCCCAGGGTCTGCACTTCAATGCTGGGGTTGAAGCTCTGGGCCTCCCAGGAGGGTCCTGGGGAAGCTGCCCTGATCTGAAAGATGTAACGGGTAGCCGGCTTCAGGTTGGTGACAGTAACCATGGGCGCCCCAGTCTTCACTGTGGAGTAAGTCTGTTCACTCTGACCCTAGGGAGAGACCGGAAAATGCCCAGATCCAGGACCAGATCCACTCTCCCAGAGAGCAATGGAAGGAAAGGAGCAGGGAGGCAGAAGCAGCACCCTTAGGTGAATGTGGGTTGGGTGGGAAAACCCAACCCCAATGGCAATGGGAGATTCCAGAGATCTTTCCCAATGGATCCCAGCTGCTCCCTCCAACTCAAGTTCCTACCCCACACTCCATGGTACTTGTATCTGAAATCAGCCCCACTTCTAAAGAAACTTTAGAGATGCTAGATCCACCTTCTTGGGGTCTTGAGGAAGATGGCCACAAGGGCTTGGGGTAGACTCAGCCAGTGCTCTGGGGGGCCTAATGGGTTAGGGTTAACCTCAGAGGACAGAATGAGATAAGCCCTGACACAAAGCTTTTCCTCTGCGTGGTATCTGATTTTCACAACTGTCCTTCAAGTCACAGAGGACAGAGGTTATTATCTTTGTTGTTTAAGTAAGGAAACCCAGTTCAGAGGGATAAAGACTGGCTGAGGCCCACAGCTGGGGAGGGTGAGAGAAGCCTCTGCCATCACTGCTACGTGCCTACCCCTTCTCAGTCCTGCCTCCTACGAACCGGAGCCTGGCAACAGCCAGTGCAGTCAGCCTCTGTCTCCTCCCTGCAGCTGAGGGCCACCCAAGGAAGGGTCAGAGTGACACCCTCTGAGTCCCCATGGATCCTGTGCCTCCTGCTCCACATCACACCACCCAGCTCCCCCCATACATGTCTAATAATGGAATGTCCTAGGGAGGCTTCCCCTACCCACCATCCCACCCCCACTTCCATCATTTCATCTCTGCCCACACCTTGTTACAGAGCCTGCTATATCCACAGCCTCCAGAAGGGCACCCTTGCCCCTGATATTCTGTGGCCCCAGTTCTCTGGCCATGGCATTCAGGAATCAGGGAAGACTTGGAACCATGCTGGGCCAATCAGCATATCCCTTCCTGGTATCTGAACATCCACTGAAAGGACCTGGACGTGGAGCAGGCTAGGGGCAGGAAGCAGGAGCAGCAAGGCTGCAGAGGACCCTGGACTAGAGTGCAGAGATATCTAGGGAGAAGTGGTGTGGCTCTAAAGGGGAGCTGCCCCCACACCCATCCAGGCCTAGTGACCCAGCAGTGCCTTCAAACACAGGCTGCCTTTCTTGTACTTGCTCCTCTTTTTGAGTGTTTGTGCCCAGCAAATTCAACACTCCCTGACTAAGGGCCTGGGAGTATCCACCCAACTCAGCCTTGGGACTCTTGTCTCTACTCTGATTCCCAAATCCCAGGGCAGTGAGTCCTCTCTAAGCACCTGCTGCAATGCTTAGCTCCTTCCCAGCATCCTCTGCTGCTACCTCCTAAACATCAGTATTCCTCGGGGCTCTGTCCTGGCCACCCTTCTGAGGCACATTGCTCTCCTAGGTTATTTCCTCCAGTCCTCTGGCTTTTGCTCTGCTACCATCTCTATGCTGAAAGCCCCCAACACACTCTCCCTTTCTCTTTCTCTCTAGTACAGGCATCTCCCTTGAGCTTCAGACCTGCAAGTTCACCCCATGAGCCCACTGAATACTACATGAGCAAAACCAAGTTCACCATCTTGCCCTAGGCCTGCTCCTCCCCTACAGTGGTTCTCCATCCAGCCAGTGGCACCCCATTCTCTGGGTTACTTGAGACTTACTCCTTCCTGGTCACACGCACACTCTCAACCGACTTCTAACATTCAAAAACTATTATCTGATTCAACAAAGAAGTCCCTGGGTCACATGTTCTGATACATGTGGTGCTGAAGCTGAAAGAGGTGTCATTTTAATGAATATAATTTGCACCAATGTGAGAAATGGTTTAATAGTAGAATACACATCAGATTTAAAGATAATGAACTTGTGGAGAAAAGAGATAGCAGATTGGGAGGAAGTCCCTTTGTCAAATCACAGCAGAACTGTGACCAGGGACTGATGATGGGTACAAGAGGTCAGCAAAAATCAGAGAGGCATCCTGTGGGAACCAACTGGCCATATGGCATCTACAGGGAAGGGTACTGTGTAGACTTTATTTTTATTGCAAATGACCTGTCACCCATCATTTATATCAGTGAAATGATAATAATTAATGCATTTACTGTTCTGGAAAGCTGGCTGTTAGATATTTACCAGCACACCTCCAGACCAAGCAATGTGGTCCCATGGTCACACATTTTAGAAACAATACCACATGTATTTCTACGTCCCTTTTCTTAACAAGGGTTCTAGAAACAGCATGTTTAAGATTCAGCCAGACAAAGTCTGCACCAGCCCCTGCAGAAAGCTCTTGGCCAACTGTAAACACCAGGCAAAGTGGTGAGAAGTGCGATGACTGGGGATGGGGGGAGACCTGAAGGGAAGAGGAAGAGCGGAGTCCAAGGTGTGTGCAGGGGACAGGAAGAAGGGACACGATTCAAGCATGGGAGGCCACCTCAGAGAGAGTAGTTACATGGGAAGTGAGGACTTTTACTGGGAGGACGCGGAAAGAGGAAACCTGCGGGACGGGGTCAGGCTCCAGGTTTCCTCTGCATCTGCACTCACCTTCTCGAAGTATCGGATCTCATACTCCGTGGCGTTGGCCCCAGGGGCTCCAGCGGGAACTGGCTCTCGCCAGGACAAGGACACACTCTGAGGCTCCACTCTTTCCCTGCGGATCTCATCTTCCTCCCCGGGAACTGAAAGTGAGTAGTGCGGGATTCTCCACCTGAACGGACTCCGGGGCAGGGATGGGAAAGGGTTGGGGCATGCGGGGCTGTGGGGCGGGATTAAGGACCTGGGGTGTGGTCTAAGGTGTTGGGTCCCCAGCTAGGGACCGCTTAGGGGGCGTGGTCAAAGGCAGGCCCCTCCCAGAACAGCGCTCTCCGGCACTGCCTCCTGGAGCGGAAAGCATCAGGCCTCCTGCCGGCCTTCCAAACTCTGCACCCCAGCTTCCCTTAACGGTAGCTAGTTCTGATCCCCCTGGCTCTGTCTACGCTTTCTGTGGTTTGGAAACAGAGCAATTAGAAGCAGTGAAACCAGCTACTTAACTATTCTAACAGTCTGGTAAATAGCAACTACATTAGCTCTTACTGAGCTAACATACAAAAAATATAAAATAAGAAGTAATATACTCAACAAACTAGGAATAAAAGGAAATCACTCCAGTGTCATAAAGGCCACACATGACAAGTCTGCAATGAACATCATACTCGATGGTGAAAGACAAGAAGCTTTCCTTCTAACATCAGGAAGAGGCAAGGATGCTCACCTGCACCACTTTTATTCAACATAACACTGGAAGCTTTGGCAGAGCAATTAGGCAAGAAAAAGAAATAAAAGGAAAAAAAGGCCAAGCATGGTGGCTTACACCTGTAATCCTAGCATTTTGGAAAGCTGAGGTAGGAGGATTGCTTGAGGCCAGTAGTTCACCACCAGCCCGGGCAAGGTAGCAAGATCCCAACTATGAGAAAAAAGGAAAAATTAGCTGGGTATGGTGTTGTAGGCCTATAGTCCTGTTAGGGAGGCTGAGCCTAGAGGATTGCTTGCCCCCAAGAGTTTGAGATCACTGTGAGCAATGATTATGCCACTGTACTCCAGCCTAGATGACAGTGAAACTCTGTCTCTAAAAAACAAAACAAACAAAAAAAAACAACAAGTGACTGGATGAAATTGCTCAAGGAAAATGCATAGAGAAAAAGGAAAAGCTTTTAGGAAATAAGCCTGAGAAACAACAACATTTAAGAGAGGAGCAGAGGAAGAGTAATTTGAAAAGGAGGGGCCAGAAAGGTAGGAGGAAAACCAGAGAAGGGTGAGGTTACAGAAGCCCAGAGGAGGGAACATTTAAGAAGGTTCCCTCCTGGCCAGATGTAGTGGCTCACACCTATAAGCCTAGCACTCTGGGAGGCAGAGGCAAGAGGATCCCTTGAGTTCAGGAGTTCAAGATTGGCCTGAACAAGAGCAAGACCCTGCCTCTACTAAAAATAGAAAAACTAGGGTGGTGCCTGTGACTCAGTGAGTAGGGCCCCATATACTGGGGATGGCGGGTTCAAACGCAGCCCCAGCCAAACTCCAACACAAAAATAGCCGGCCATTGTGGTGGGCGCCTGTAGTCCCAGCTACTTGGGAGGCTGAGGCAAGAAAATCACCTAAGCCCAGGAGTTGGAGGTTGCTGTGAGCTGTGTGATGCACAACACTCTACTGAGGGTGATAAAGTGAAATTCTGTCTCTAAAAAAAAAAAAAAGAAAGAAAGAAAAATTAGGCGGGTGGCACCTGTGGCTCAGTGAGTAGGGCCCAGCCCCATATACCAAGGGTGGCGGGTTCAAACCCGGCCCAGCCAAACTGCAACAAAAATGTAGCTGGGCACTGTGGCGGGCACCTGTAGTCCCAGCTACTTGGGAGGCTGAGGGAAGAGAATCGCCTAAGACCAAGAGCTGGAGGTTGCTGTGAGCTGTGACACCACAGTACTCTACCAAGGATGATAAAGTGAGACTCTGTCTCTAAAAAAAGAAAAAAGAAAAATTAGTCGGGTGTTGTAGTGGGTGCCTGTAGTCTCAGATGCTTAGGAAGCTGAGGCAGGAGGATCACTTGAGCCCAGGAGTTTGATTCTAGCCTGGAGCAACAGAGAGAAACTATCAAAAAAAAGCTCCCGCCAGACCCTTCTGGTTATTAGTTGACCCATAAACAAGCAATTTCACTCTCTGAGCCTCAGATATCTCCTGTGTAAAATGGAAACACTGACAACACTTCATAGGCCGGCTGTACAAAAGTTATGAAGTAACGTACAGGAAGGGCTGAGCACAACCCCTGACACACAACTGGTACTCAGCACGAGATTACCAGTAAGAGGACACAGTGGTCAGCAGTGCCATGTGCCGGGAAGATACAGGTAAGATGATGATTCAAAATGCACATGTGAAGGTCCGTGGTGGCTTCTCAGGACTGAGTAAAATAGGTACCAAATAGCACTGGAGTTAGGAGACAGAGACAGGGCACAAATGGCTCAGTCTTGATGAGTGCATGGATGCAGCTTCTAATCTTAAATGGTATCCATGGAGCAGCCC